GTCGCGTGATGGCGTCCTTTTTCTTGTTTTGCACACGATGCGTCACCCGATTTGCTTTTACGAATGAGGATGTGGATGGTGGATGTTCCTGATAATGTTGCTTTCCACGTTGCTAGAGCCGTGCTTTCTTGTGATGAAAAACGGGGCCTTATGTTGACAGTTTATTGCTTGTTCTTGTTCGTGGTGCGAATACCTCTGCCAGGTTCCATACCCTATATCATGGTTGTCTCTTCGGATGTCGCTTTGACCTCCACGTTCCCCAATTGGCTGACCTCCATGGTATGGCGCACTATGCTCAACGCTCTCGATTCTACCGGTCGCGTGGACATTGGCTAGGCGACCTTCCGCCCCCATTCTCTGAGGATCCTATCTGGCTTGTGTCCCTTCCCCCGACTGAAGAGAGGCCGCGCTCGGTGTTGCTGGGCATAGCTGCTCTAATTGATGCCTTGTTGTTCGCCCACAACTGCCGCCGTCGCCATTTGTCTGCTGCTGGCAGCGCTTCTCAGCATATCCACACCAGACTACGAGCTACCACCCGCCGCCTTCGATCGATCGCTGAAGCTTGGCGGATTGAGAGAAGAGTACTGTTTGGGTCAGCGCGAGGCGGGCGGTGGCTCTTTGGTGCACGGTCGGCCTCTGCTGAATGCAGGCTTGGAGATGTTCCTGCGGTGTTTTCTCGCAGGTTTGTGACTCTTGAGGTTATTGCCCCGCCTTGACGGGGTCGGTGGATTCGAACTCTCAGGTGAAAAGAGAACTGCTGTGGGCATGGCCCCCGCCGCCTTCGACGCGAAACCCAGGTTACCCACGGGGTGCTTTCTTCAACATCTGGCTTGGGAGCGAGACCCAGGAACACTCAACAGTATGCGACACGCCAGGCGCGCGCATACCATTAACATCAAAATGTTACGGCCACGCGCAGCTTACCCGCACTCAGAACACGCAGTTTTGTGCACGGTGGGCGCGTTGGTAAAGGAATGCGCGCAGAGGGTCCCCTAGCTGATGAGGGCGGCGGTGGTATCCGTGGCCAGTCCACGATTGGGCGCCCACCTGGCTCCAGACCCTGGATTCCTTATTTGATGACTCCGCATGCCAGGACCTCGGCGAATACTACGACCATGCGCGAATTACCCGCACCCAGAACGCACAGTTCGATGCACTGCAGGTCCTTGGCGGTTATCATTCGACGCAAAAAGTTAGCCTGACGAAGGGCCCAAACATATGCAGCTGCGAGTGCCGCGCAGGATATGAGACGAAGGAGGGGGGGGGACGCAAACTAGATCCCTCTTCTCATGGGCACCGCGCCACTGCATGCACGAGGCGCAGGGCAGCGCGGGCGGACGGTGGCTGGCGGAGGAAGGGGGCTCTGTGGGGCGAGCCACCACATCAGCATCAGGGCATCTTGAGACCTGTTACTGGACACGCAAGAAGAGGTCACGGAGACACCGCACATATATCACGGGCAAGTCAGCAGCGGCAGAAATAAGACCAGGGGGCGCGCGGTCAAGAAGCGAAAGGAAGCAAGAGGAGCGAGAAACGAGGGGTGGCATTTTTGTCTTCGGGCAGAACGAGCCACGCAGAGTGCACCGCGCAGTCGGCGCCGCGCGAAAGTGGCTGGGGAGCCCCCACCGACGCGGTCCGGTCATCCAGAGGGGATCCCATCGACGCGCGGGGGTCGTCCACTGCGACTCAGAGTTCACGGATAGCGCCCCGCACTGCGCGGATAGGCGAAGCGACAGGGCGCGATTTGGGCGAAATCCCCCCCCGACAGGCGCCGGTCATTCTCTGGCGAGAAATTCCGACGACGGGCTGGGGTCATCCAATTGTCCGTGACAGCCAGCGCGCGCCGCCGGCTCGTGCGCGGCCAGCCGCGGAGGCGGCCCCTCAGATCAGGCCTCGCGGATGAACTCGCTGAAGCCGAGCTCCCTAGGCGACGGCCGTCGCCTCCCTCCTGCGCCGCTTCGCGCGCGCAGCGAACTGCTCCAGCTGCTTCCGCAAGCCCGCCGGCGGCCCTGCCAGGAAGAACTCGACGCGTGGCGCCCGCATCAGTAGGAAGTCCTCGTGGCGCGTGGCGCGCGGGAGCAGCGCGTGGAGCTCCAGTCGCCAGTCGTCGTCGCCCATCTTGCCGTTCCCGACCTCGCGGCGGCCGCAGTCCAGGATCACGCCTGGGCGGCGTCGGCCGGGGGGGCGGCGCGCCAGACAGCCCACGGCCCAGGGTGAGTGTCCACAGGACCGAGAGAAGGTCCGGCTGCGGACCGCTCGCGCCCGAAGGGTTCGGCCGTAGACCGCCCGGTGGCGCCGTTCCCCCGCCCCGTCGCCTTCCCGCATGGTGCGCCCCTGGCGCGCCACCGCGGTGATGACCCTGCCGTGCGAGAACGGGGGGCCAGTTCGGGTGACCTTGGACGGTCGGAAAGTGAACGGCTCCGACGTGCGGGGCTCGATGAACACCAGCGGGTCCGCGAGGTCCCCCGCGAGGCTGTCGTCGTGGCGCTTCAGGTCGTCCACGAAGGGCGCGCTCGCGTGCTTACTTCTCCATGCGCACCCAGAACCCCAGCGGCAAGTGCTTCGCATATTCCTCTTTCCTGTTCCTCCTCCTCCTCCTCCTCCTCCTCCTCCTCCTCCTCCTCCTCCTCCTCCTCCTCCTCCCCCTCCTCCTCTGGGGCCGCCGAAAACGTGTGAGGGGTGTTCCGAAATGTGTCGCGGGGGACAAGCATGCGGGGCGCAGCCGCTGGGAGCTTCGTGGTAGCTCCCTCTTGGGGGCCGCGAAACTGAACCCTCGCGTCTGCATTCCTCTTAGGCGGGGGGGGCGGCGTTCAACCCTGCGCGCGGGGGGGGGCGCGCGCAACCTGCGCCGCTGGGACCTTCGTGGAGCCCCTATGGGGCCACGAAGCGCTGTACTGGTGGAAGGGGAACGCAATGCACCTGCGCCGCTGGGATCTTCGCCTTCGGTGGAAGCTCCCGGTGGGCCCACGAAACGCTGTCCTGGGCGGGGGGGGGAGGGGCGCATGCAACCTGCGCCACTGGGACGTTCGGTGGAGCTCCCTATGGGGCCACGACACGCTGTCGTGGGCGTGGGGGGTGCATGCAACCTGCGCCACTGGGACCTTCGGTGGAGCTCCCTATGGGGCCACGAAACGCTGTCCTGGATGGGGGGGGGTGCATGCAACCTGCGCCACTGGGACTTTCGGTGGAGCTCCCTATGGGGCCACGAAGCGCTGTCCTGGGTTAGGGGGACGCATGCAACCTGCTCCACTGGGACCTTCTGTGGAGCTCCCTATGGGGCCACGAAGCGCTGTCCTGGGTTAGGGGGACGCATGCAACCTGCTCCACTGGGACCTTCTGTGGAGCTCCCTATGGGGCCACGAAGCGCTGTCCTGGCGGGGGGGGGGCGCATGCAACCTGCGCCACTGGGACCTTCGGTGGAGTTCCCTGTGGGGCCACGAAACGCTGTCGTGGGTTAGGGGGACGCATGCAACATGCGCCACTGGGACCTTCGGTGGAGCTCCATGTGGGACCACGAAACGCTGTCCTGGATAGGGGGGGCGCATACAACATGCGCCACTGGGACGTTCGGGGGAGCTCCCTGTGGGGCCACGAAACGCTGTCCTGGGTGGAGGGACGCATGCAACCTGCGCCACTGCGATCTTCGGTGGAGCTCCCTGTGGGCCCACGAAACGCTGTCCTGGGCGGGGGGGACGCATGCAACCTGCGCCACTGGAACCTTCTGTGGAGCCCCCTATGGGGCCACGAAACGCTGTCCTGGGCGGGGGGGACGCATGCATCCTGCGCCACTGGGACCTTCGGTGGAACTCCTTATGGGGCCACGAAGCGTTGTCCTGGGTGGGGGGGACGCATGCAACCTGCGCCAGTGGGGCTTTCTGTAGAGCTCCCTATGGGGCCACGAAGCGCTGTCCTGGGTGGGGGGGACGCATGCAACATGCGCCACTGGGACGTTCGGTGGAGCTCCCTGTGGGGCCACGAAACGCTGTCCTGGATGGGGGGGCGCATGCAACCTGCGCCATTGGGACCTTCGGTGGAGTTCCCTATGGGGCCACGAAGCGCTGTCCTGGGTGCGGGGGGACGCATGCAACCTGCGCCACTGGGACCTTCGTGATGGCATGGAGGGGGAGGAGGGAGGGGGCAGCGGGAGGAGAAGGAGACGCGGGGCACCGTCTATTCAAAACGAGGACCCAGCACCACAGGATGGTTGGGAAAACATGTGTATCTGTGTTTGGGCCCGTGCCCGCAGCACCCTCGCGGCATTCTGCCACGGGGTCGCCGCGGAGCGCGGGCCGCAGGTCGCGCAGGCGCCGCCGCCGCAGTCGCTCTGCACTGGTGGCTCTCCCCAGCTCTCCAGCGCAGCGTACTTACTTTCCACCGCGTGGACCCCATGAGGGCTGGACCCCTTCCCAGGGTTCGTTTCGATTTTTCCGATTCGATTCGGGTCGACGTCGACTGCCTTCGATTCCGATTCGATTCGACTTGGGATTCCGATTTGGGTGCCGATTTCTTTTCGGAGGCGTACTATCCTGCCGTTCGATGTTTCCCTATTCGGCTGCTGATTTCCGTCGGTCCGATTCATTTCGGTCGATGATCCGGCTTATCGATTCGGTTCTGGGTTCCACGGGCGATTGTTGCGCAGGCCTGCCCCGTTCGATGCATTCCTGGGGTCGCAGTTTAAAGGGCTTCGCCTGCCAGGGTGATCGTCGCGAGGGCAGTTTTACCCTCCACCCCGGGCGCTGCCCGGAAGTTCTCCCCCTTCCCGCCGACCCCCTCGGCCGCCCCGATCCCCCCCCACTTCACACAGGAGGACCTCATGTGGCCTCTGGCCAATGCGTTCTCTGTGTGGTTTCGTCGGTCTTTGGAGGCTTCCGCAGACGGAGGTCCTCTGGGGAATCTCTTTCTGTAGTTCTACGATTCCCCCCCCCCCTGGTGTCATGTGATTCTGGAGTCCTACCCCTTCCGTTCCTGGTTATATTTCTGCGTCCGCCACCTGCCGGCAGGAGGGAAATTTGGCCTCCGTCGCCGTCTTCAAAGGGGACGAGGCGGCCGATGGGCAGCCGTTGGTCCAGGTGATGAAGCCCAGCAAAGCGTGGTCGGCGGAGGAGCAAGAATGTCACGTGCACGGCGGCACTCGATCTGGAGGGTTACTCCGAAGGGCTTATGCGACCCGTCTTCCTCCTCCTCCTCTTCCTCCTCATGTCCTCCTCTTCCTTCTCCTCCTCCCACTCCTTCTCCTCCTCCTCCTCCTCCTCCTCCTCCTCCTCCTCCTCCATCTCCTCATCCCCCTCCCTCTCCTCCTCTTCCTCCTCCTCCTCTTCCTCCTCCTCCTCTTCCTCCTCCTCCTGCTCGGGTCGCCTACGGCCCCTGGGGAAACCCCGCATCTCGATCTATTCTGCGGGAACGGATTCCCAACGGCGCGTGTTGGGAGCTGGACGCCCACGTTCGGCAGCAGATCATCGGAGCCTCGCGTACCCTCGCAATTTCAGCTGCAGATTGCATTCGCGTCGACTAGCACTTGGTCGTAGATGAGCGTGCCGATTCAGCCTCGATTAGCGCTTATTGAGCGTCGACTCGCAAGAGCCCACGAAATGATGTGGGAGGCTCCCATAGGTTGCCCCAGGAGCGTGTCTGGCCCGCGCAAGGGCTTGATGCTCACGAACCGCATGCGGCCGTACGCCTTTCCAGCCTTCCGCACTCGGCCCTCGTGCAATGGTGGGCACGCAGGCCTTCCGCATCCCGCGCCCAGCGCGGGTCCTTCTGCGTGCCCCGCACGCGAGCGCTGTCGGAGCTCTCCTGGAAGGGCCCGAGTCAAGCCTCGTGGCTGGGGTCCGAAGGAATGAGGTCGACGACGGCCCCTTCCGGTTGCTTCGCACGCGAGCGTCGTCGGAGTGTCTTGATCGGGAGTGGAAAGAGGGGGGTGATGACTAGGGGGGGGTGGATTTTATGGCGCGGGCCATGATTTTCCCCTAGATTTCATCATTACGTCCCTGGCCCCCCCGCTGGGCCGCGCACATGCCGCCGGTCATGATTTGCTCCCCCCCTCTTGGACACCCCCCTCTTGGCCGCTCCCGACTTGAGGGGCATGCGCAAACCTAGGCCTCGCAGATGGAGTCCAGGGGGCAGCGCTGGCTTCCTGTACCTCCACCCGGCGCGCGGCCTTCCGCGTGCCCCGCGCGCGGGCGTTGTCCGAGCTTTTTTGGGGGGGGGCCTACATGTCGTAGGCCTTCCAGATGCGGTCCAAGGAGGGGGGGTCGAAGGATTGCTCCGCGTTGCCGATGCAACGCGGATGTGGCTCGATGTGGATCCCGTCCTGCTGCATGTCGACGTCGCGGGCGCATCGCTGACGTCGGCGGTGCAACGCTGGCGTCGGCGATGCATCGCCGATGTGCCGTGGATGCGGCGCCATCCTGCGACCCTATCTACACGGACACCATTTGGGATGCCCCTGCTAAAACAGTCGTGCACTACAGGTTTGCCGCTCCGAAAGTTGCCGGCGGCGCACATTCACGCGCTCCCGCGACAGCGGAACACCAGGCGTTTGGCCTGTTTTTTTTTCCTTGGGAACAAAAGTGATGCCGTGCACAGTGGAGGCCCATACCAAGAAACACCCCGCTTGCCTCCAGGGTGCCCTGGGTTTCGGTGTCGATGGTTCTGCCATCGGAAGTGCGACGCTCCCACACCCAACATCAACGGACGTCCTGGGGTCTCGGGGTTGGGTTTCTTATGGAAGGCTTCTTGTGTTAGGTCGGGCATGTCCCCCTACAAGCGGATTTTGGACGAAGCATAACACATACTCCGAAACATGCCCAACATGCACAACAATGGTCAACAAATCGTCACGCGACTATTTTTTTGCTATTTTGGAATATTTCCCCTGTAGAGGGGCGTGCCCGACTTCATTCTTGTGGTCGAGCCCCTGCTGTGTTCTGCCGTGCTTGTCCAGGCCACCCCCCAGGAGGCGCAGGCGAAATGACTGTGCCCCGCGCGCCGCTGCCGGGGCCGGGAAGCCGCCCTTGCACACGGGGGGCGGTGCGGAGGAGGAGGAGGAGGAGGAGGAGGAGGAGGAGGAGGAGGAGGAGGAGGGGGAGGAGGAGGAGGAGGAGGAGGAGGAGGGCTGATTCTTCTGAGCGGGCGTGGGAGGAGGAGGAGGAGGAGGAGGAGGAGGAGGAGGAGGAGGAGGAGGGGGAGGAGGGGGGAGGAGGGCCAGGGGAGACAGTGGCGGCTTCCCCGCCTGGTCCAATGCGGTTCAAAATTGGTCCCAGACCCTTCTAAATTCAGCGTCGACCAGCGTCGATGAGCCTCTGGAGTCGACGAGATACGCGCCGATGTAGCGTCGATTGAAAGTCGTGGGCCCTGGAAACGACAGGGCCGTTTTTTTACCGGTTCCGTTTTGCCGTTTTTGTTGCCGGTTCCGACGCCGTTTTTTTCCGGATCCGTCGCAGTTCTTTGACCAGTTCTGGCTCCGGTTCCAATCCTGGAGCTGTTTTTTGCCGTTTCCGGTCGCCGTTTTCTGGCCGCTTCCATCTTCAAGGGACGTGTGTTTGGAAACGGTCAAAAAGCGGCCCTGCCGTTTCCGGGGCCCACCGGTGCCCCCGGACCCCTCCCGGCGGCGACACGCCTCCACGAGGCCCAGGAGAAGACGGAGACGCCAGCGAGGGAGAGAGAGAGAGAGGGCGCCGTTGCCTCGACTGCCCCACCCGCGAGATGGCGAAGTCGGGCGTGTCCCTCTACAGGAGGAGAATATCCAAACATAGTTTAAAAAATAGTATGGAGACAATGTGGCTAGTATTTTCGATCATTTGGGAACGTGTCTGAACAATTTGTATTTGTCGCCTGAAAACCGCCTGCAGGGGGACGTGCCCGACCTGACGACATTGTCATCGCGTGCCTCCGATCTCGATGCGCGAAGTGCCGGTCGCCATTTCCTTGCTTAGCTCAGGAGGCGATCCCTGGGAGGTACAATTGAACGTCGGCGCTTGCACATCCGTAGTCGAAAACTGGGCCACAATCTGGCAAGCTCCCGTTGACTTCCAGTTTCAACCCGCCAAGGCCCGCTCAGTACCCATTTTAATCTGGCCTAATTTGGCTCAATGGTCCCTGAGTCGGGCTTAATCGCTTTGACTTTTCCCTACGTGTCGCTGGATCCGGCCCACCACGCTTCGACGCGACACGCTATATACAGATACATGTATACATAGATGTATATGTATGGATATACGTGTGTGTTTATGTTTGCATGTATGTGTGTATGTGTATATATATATAATATAAAGATGTACACCCTGGTCCCCAAGCAGAAGCATTTCTAGCTTCTCCCAGCCTCCCGTCTCACGAAGCAGAGCGACACGCCATGGGTTTGCTCGCGGCAGCGTGTGCCAGGGGCCCGCCACCGCGACACGCAGGAGTTCCTGACCGTACGGCAGGTCCCTGCCGTGTCGATGCGGAGGCGACCCCCGCGCGGGCCTTCAAGGTTCAGCGCCGCCAGTGGCCCAGAATCGGCCAACACGGAACGATCCGTCGATCGAGAAAGAGCCAATCACTCCTCCTCCTCCTCCTCCTCCTCCTCCTCCTCCTCCTACTCCTCCTCCTCCTCCCTCTTCTCCTCTTCCTCTGGCAATGCTGTGCTCATGTCCAGGTCCGGCAGGGGGCGCCTCTTCGCCCCTTCGCTGCTCCCCAACCCGCCGCCCCCCTGCGCCCCCTGCAGGTCGGAGCCGCACCACGACCTCGCCCGCTGGAGAAGCCCCGTTCTCGGCGACGAGAGCCTGAAGAACGTCTCTCCGGCCACCCCGACCTCAAGCAGCCAGGCCTCGCGCAGGGAAACGGCCCCTCCTGGACCCCCCCCTCTGGGCCGCTTCCGGAGCCACAGTCGGCACCCCTCGTCGCCGTTTTCATCGTTTTGCCGATCGGCGCAGGCCCTCGCACCCCCCCTCCCCCCCTCCAGTGGGCGGACAAAATATCGCAAGTTATATGATCGCTCCGAGAAACAACGTGTCAACTTTGATCATGTTCCATCGATCTCCGAGGAGCTCCCCCTGCCCCCGTAGTTCAATGTTGACTTGCATTATTTTGTCCTCCTGGACTTGGGGTGTTCGCTCGATGCCAACATTGAAATGTGGGGGGCGGGGGGTTTCGTCGAGGTGGCGTCGCAATGTAGGCGCAGCCGTGCGCGACCAGGAACAACTTGCAACATTTCGTCGTCCCACCGTCCCTTCGTGGAGTAGATCTTGGCTGTTTGTGTTGGCTCCTGTTTCGAGCAGGTGGGGTCCCCCAAGAGGAAGCACGGTTCCAAGCAGTCGCACTGAGCAGAGGTCCAGAGCCTGAGCAGAGGTCCGCCCAATGTCGAAACGCCGCATAAGAGAACGCTGACCGCATGCTCTTCGCTTGGGGGTCTGTGGTGGCCCAGCATTGGCGCCGACCCAGACTTGTCGCTAACCGCCCGGGCGCGGCTCGAACAGCTCGTCAGTTGCGGGGTATTGGGCCCGACTTGGAGTGAGTGCGTCCTCATCCCACCCTCTTGACCAAGTTTCTCTGGGATGATCCAGCACGAACCCACCCAACCGCCTCAAACCCTTAACTGTGACCGGGGCAAAATAAGGCTTTGTTTTGCCAAAGCTCGTGTTTGCCGATGCTTGCCAAGCAGCCTTGGCGTTTAGTTTGATGGTCCAGTCTTCGTGAGATGCTTGAAGACTGGTTCCCGCCATTTGTCTGACGGCGCCGTCAATCCAGCTCGAGGCCCTCAAACGCGAGTCTCACGTCTCCCCGATATTAATGACAGAGTCCTGAGGAAAACGGGTTATAAAAGGCTTTCGCCGCTCGCTGGTCCCCAGGACCGTCAGCAAAGTAACCCAGGACGAAAGCCAGGGCCCAGGGGAGGGCGCCGGGATCCAGGACCCGCCATTTCATTCAGGGCCCGTTTCCTGCATTGTGTTGCCAAGACGTTGGAGTAAGGAACAGCTTTGGTTCGCAAGGGGCTCGCTCGATGTTCCTAAGGTTTACTGCTGTTCATCTAGCGCTCCTCGTCTACGCAGGCGCCTTTGGGGAAAGCGGGCTTTGGCCCCGATGTGTTAGCGTTCCGTATTTCAGCAGCCCGATTGTCTAAGATTTCAGGGTCCGCCCGGATTTCTTGGATCGGCGCTGGACCCATGCGGACGGCACCGCCAGGGCCGCCGCTGGCGCACTTCGCGCGCCAGGGGAGGAGATCCCGGCCCCGATCCAATGCAATCCGGGCGGACCTCAGACAGTCTGCGTGACTGATCTCAACCAGTGGCGAAGCGTCTTGGCGCGCCTATAGTCCTACCAAACAATGTTCTAAGAACCTTCTGTGGTTTCCACGACATGTTCTTCGAACATCTCTGGATGAGACCGTTTTGTTTTCACACATCGGGATCACGTTCTAAGGACATTGGTATTTGATTTTGGACAGGTTCTAGGTTCTCAGGACATTTCGTGGTGTGGTAGGACTACTTGGGAATGCCGGGACCGTCGGTCCCTGCCTTAGTGGGCCCTGGAAACGACAGGGCCGTTTTTGTTACCGGTTCCGTTTTGCCGTTTTTGTTGCCGGTTCCGACGCCTTTTTTGTTATTGGTTCCGTTTTCGTTCTTTTACGGATTCCCGCTCAGGTTCCAATCCTGGAACTGTTTTTGTTGCCGTTTCCGGTCGGCGTTTGTTTTGCCGTTTCCATTTTCAAGGGCCATTTTTCCAGAAACGGTGAAAAACCGGCCCTGCCGTTTCCAGGGCCCAGTAAGGTCCAGGGCCCAGTAAGGTCCCCGCTCAATGATCCGATCCGAGGACCAGGGGTCGACGTCGAAGAAGGCGCGGGCGCAGGCCTTAGAGCAGCTGTGGCTGAGGATATACTGCAGCAGGCCGGAGCTCTTGGCGTTCTTCTCCAACCTGGACCAGGCAGGGCCCACCTCCTCTGCTTCTCCCTCCTCCTCCTCCTCGTCATCCTCCTCCTCCTCCCACCTCCCTCCCCCTCCTCATCATCAGCATCAGCATTATCTTCAGTATCATCACCTCATCACCAGCATCAGCATCAGCAGTTTGACCCGATGAACCAGATTCGAAGCCGGGTGTTGGCCAGCGCCCGGTCCGATTCGGCTCCGGCATGCCGTCGATCTGGCGCGGCCCGATGTCTGCATGGCGCTGTTGTGCATCATGGCTTTGCTGATGCGATGCGGTTTCGACTCGGCCCTGATACACACGATTTAGCGCACATGCCCATCCGATTAAATTCCCCGCCCGACGCGATGCCGCCCGATTTTGCCTCATGCTCGGGGGAGGGGAACGCGGGGCGGAGGAGGGTGGTGGGATTCTGGATTCTGTTGGCCTGACCTCCGAAAATGCGAAACACGCACAACGGCGGCGAAAACGAGCCTGCCGCTTACCCCCAGGCCTGTCCTGGGCGACAGGGCGGAGACTCCTGAAGCGCACGCGGCCGAAACATCGACCACCGCGTGACTAACGGCGGCGGCGCGCTCCGCGCGCCGCCGCAGGTCCGTACGTTGCACCGCGCAAATAGCACCGCACAAGTTCACCGAGTAAATTGCACCATGTATGCTGTATCTTTCTCAAACAGAACACGTTCCACCATCCTCCCGAGGCCAGACGTGCCCGTCCACCCTGGGGGAGGGAAGTGCAGGTACATTTTACGGTTAGCTCTGCCCCACCGTTCATTCCAAGTACTAACACATTCCCACCCCAGCCAGTCCCGTCCACCCCCCCATCCTCGGCAACAGAAATTGTGCGCGCACACCAGCTTATCACACATCAACAATTCCGCCTGTCTCTTGGAGGACAAAGAGCACGAAATGCACGCGTTCGTCGTCGCGCGCGCGTGCCGAAATCTTTGTCCTTTCGCAAGGATGTCACCGCCGAGCATCCCCATACACAGCTTTAAGCAAGAAAGCATAAAACACTGCGTTGAAGCTTGGTCCTTAATTATGCCAGCGTAATTGTTGACATCGCGATTTCGTGGCATGTTCATCGGATTCGCTCATGTCGAAACCATTGGAACTCCTATTCGCGTGCTTTTGAAAGGAATGAAGGGGCACGATCCCATTCACGTACTATCATGCGGGCCACTCGTGCCCGTCGGCCGCGCGCGCATATCGGAATCCTTTTTCGTAACTTTCAGCGCCAGAACGTTATGTGCGCTCTTCTGGAAGCCTCTCGGGGACTCCCAATTGCGGGTCGGTGACGGGTTCACGTCGGATCGACGTCGGACCGACGTGTTGCATCGATTCAGCCCGTAATGTGAGTTTGCGAGCGCGCCTGCGCACAACACTTCGACACGCCAGGGGGCGACGCGTTTGCAGGGCAATCGTGCCCACCTGCCAGCTAACGTGCCTGGGTTGAGGCCTCTTGGATGTTCATTGGGATATCGTTTATCATGGGAGGTCTCTCGGGGGAATGTTTGGGGCACCCCCCAGGTTTCTCGAGGGCCTCTTGGAGGCCAGCTCGTGGCTTCTCGGTGCCTCGCGGGGCTTCTCGGGGGCTTCCTCGGGGCTTTTTGGAAGCCCCCAGGCGCCCAGGCGAGAGCCCCATTTTGAAAACGGCCCGCTCCCGATTCGCGTTATCGTTGCAAACTTTTAAGACGAATGTCCGCTGCGCGTAGGCGAGAGCTCCATTTTGAACACCGCCCGCCCTCGATCCTCGCAGTTGTTGCACAATGTTCAGGTTCATGATTATAAGTGGCGAGGCGAGCTCGGGCGAAGCGCCCGGCCCTCCGTAAACGCGCGTCTGGTGGCGCGACAGCGGAAACTATTTACAGTGAGAGGAGATGGTGGAGGGGGAGGAGGAGGAGGAGGAGGACGACGAGGAGCAGGAGAAGGAGCATGAGCAGGAAAAGGAGGAGGGGGAGGAGGAGGACGAGGTCGAGGACGAGGACGAGGACGAGGGCGGGGAGGAAGAGGAGGACGAGGAGCAGGAGGAGGAGGAGGACGACGGCGACGGCGACTACGACGGCGGCGACGACGACGGCGGCGCTGCGGCGGCCCTGGCTCTGGCGTCCCGCCGCCGCCGCCGCCGCGACTGCCGCCGCGACTGCCGCCGCCGCCGCCGCCGCCGCCGTCGTCGTCGTCGTCGTCGTCGTCGTCGTCGTCGTCGTCGTCGTCGTCGTCGTCGTCGTGATCGTCGTCGTCGTGGTCGTCGTCGTCGTCGTCGGGCGGCCGTCTCGGCGGCTGGGCGAGCTTCGAGGATTGAGGTTTTGGGCTCGGGATTTTATGCAATTGTCGTTGCTCCGTAGGGTGCTCATCGTCGCCGCGGCCGGGCTCGAGCAAAATCTGTCGCTCGGGGATCCCAGGGTGAGTTTCCGTGCTCCAGGCGTCGGGCCTCGGGGAGGGGCCCAGGGCGCCCGCAGGGGTTGCCAGCGGAGGGTGCGTCAGATCCTGGGGAAGGGCGGGAGGAGGGGAAAAGGGGAAACGGGTCCGTCGAGGTTTGACGCAGGCGCCCCCTTCTGGGCTGGTAGCGAATCGCGAATCCATCCGCGTCGGAGCAGGGGCTCCGCGACCCCCCAAAAAAACCATAGCGTCGCAACGTCCGCCCCCAGTAATAGGAGGTGAAGGGGGAGGGGCGGGGGAAGGGGTGGCAGGAACAAGAAGACGTAAGGTTGTATAGTGTTTCGTGGCTCGCACGTCGAACGGCGCGCGCGTTTGCGCATAGCTCCTGGCTCAAAATGTCAGGCGGGGCCGTGCGTGCCCCCAACGCCTCCCTGGCTGAGCAAGCCAGGGCTTTAGCTTCCCACTTGCAGGGCTTCGCTGCAGCCCTGCACGCGTTGCCGCACGAAGGGCGGCCGCAGGATGTAGTGGACGGTCTGGATCGGCTCCGCGCTTCTTTGGCGGCGCGCTTCGACGCCCCGAAGAAGCGTGGCCGGAAGGCTGCCCCGACTGGAGGCGGGGGGGAGAGGCATCGCCTGCTCGCCCGCGTCAGGCGCCTGCGGCACAAGAAGAAACGAGCGGACTCCTGGTTTGAAAAATCGTTCGACCTTACCCTGTAGGGATTCGGCGTTTTCGGGGGGAGGGGCCGTCGGGGACCAGTTCGGGGTTTGTGTCTGCGGCCAGGACGGCGCGCTGAAGAAAGAGCGGGGACAGAGGACCGCGAACAGGATAGACAATTTGTGGTTCGCTCGAGTGGCGCTCTCGAGACCTACTATACCAGCAGCGGCAGTCGCGGCATGGTGCCGCGATTTCTCCATCGACCAGACAAGCCAAATAGGCTGGGATGGGTTGAACACCCGAACTGCGCGACACCCATGCCCAGATGGTCAGATGTCCTCGCGTGCTCTCCTGACTGTGTGTGACCCCCACATATTCCTTTTATCGCGTGCTTACCCTTTATACCTGCTGCCCTTCCTCGGTCCAAACGATAAGGATACTGTCACGTTTTGGCAGCGAGCTGGATTTTTCCGTTATCAGATAATTGCCGTCGTATTGTCGCTATCGACGGGGTGCTGCAGGGTGGGGCCGAAGCGCCCCAAAAAATAGAACATTCCGGCCATGCGCTCATTGTCCAGATTCGATTAAATGTGGGGTAAGCAGACTCTGTCGTAACGGCGCTGCCCTCGGAATTGTAGCCGAAACGTCGCAACCTTGATTTCTGGGTCGCAATAGCCAGATTATGTTGTAATGGCGCTTCCCTAGGAAATGCAGCCGAATCGTCGTAACCTTAATTTGCGGATCGCGCTAGCCAGATTCTGTCGTAACGGCGCCCCCCTCGGAAATGCAGCCGAATCGTCGCAACCTTGATTTGTGGGTCGGGCTAGCCAGATTCTGTCGTAACGGCGCCCCCCTCGGAAACGCAGCCGAATCGTCGCAACCTTGATTTCGGGTCGCGCTAGCCAGATTCTGTCGCAACGGCGCCCCCCTCGAAAATGCGGCCGAACCGTCGCAACCTTGATTTGCGAGTCACGGTAACCAGACGGGCCTCTCCTATACACATTGGCCAGTACGGGCAATGGGTCTCGTGGGGTTTGTTCGGCCGATTCCGTTTGCAGGGCAGACGAAAATATCGGAGTGCCGCGACGCTTTTGTGGAGGTGGTCAAGAGAATGAACCGAGCCGAAATCTCTCGCGCCGCTGGCGCGTCGGCAGTTGGGGAGACGCCGACCGCTCTTCTGCTCCACCTGCACGACGAGGCTAACATGCGGATGAAGTCATTCGAGCTGGAGGCCGACGAGAAGTACCGATTGAATGGGGGCGTGATCCGCGCCCGATCAAGCAAAATCCAGGGACATGCCATGGAGGTTCAGGTCGGCGTTGGCAGTGCGAGCCAGCCGATCGAGGTATACACCGAGCTGGAGCCCATGCTCCGCAAGGACGCCCCGACGATCGCCACAACCATCATCCAGAGGGCCACCGACGTGATCGGTGCTCTGCGGGAAGGGTTGAAGCCAAGCGGCCGCGATTGCACAGGCCCCCGCTTGCGCGTGGTCCACATCGTGGTCGGGGACGGCGTTGGGACCAACGCCGCGGCTTGCAAGAGGGCATACCGACATCTTGTTGCGGAGGCTCGCCTTACTTTCCGTTGCTCCTACAACATGATTGTTTTCGTGTGCAGCTCTCACGCTGCCAACCTGGTGGTGCAGGCTGGAATATGCGGCAAGATCACGCCGCGCCCCGTGCAGACAGATCGGCTCTTGGGGACTTGTTCGAGGCTCTTTAAGTATTTAGTACCTGACTACCAATCCGAGTTTCATCGCAACCTGCGGCGCCACGTAGTGGACAAGCTCGAGGTGATCACCTCCTCTCCCGAGGTTCCGTTGCCCGAGAGCAGCGTGAAGTTGCAGGATCTCTATGGAAAGCGCGCCTTGCCTGATGAGTTCGTGGCCTTCTGGACGGCAGGCTTCGATGCCTTCCAGCATGCGTCCGAGGCGGACCACGCTGGTGCGGCGCACGAGCAGGCCTA